TCTAGCGTGTATTTAAAATAATAACTTTAGAAATAGGTTTCAACGACTGTTTTATTGTTGTATTAAAATGTTTTTGGTTTTAAAAAGAAAATAAAATTTTTACGGGTTTTCAAATTAGAAAATGTTTTAAAAGTGATGTGACTTATGTATCTCGTGTACGGAAAAGGTATACGAGAAATGGGTGTTACAATAGTAACCGAGGCCCCATTGCTTGTGCAACCTGAGTCAGGAAAAGATTATGTCGTTTTTAGTGATGCATCCCATAATGGGCTGGGATGTATGCTGATGCAAGAAGGGAGAGTTGTGGCTTATGCCTCAAGGCAACAGAAGAATCATGAGAGAAATTACCCAACACATGATTTAGAATTGGTAGCAGTAGTGTTTGCTTTGAAAATTTTTCGCCATTATCTGTACGGTGAGCGTTTCCATGTTTACACGGATCACAAGAGTCTAAAGTAATTGCTGACTCAAAAAGAGATTAATTTGAGACAAATAAGATGGATTGAGCTTTTAAAAGATTATGATTTGATTATTGATTACCATTCAGGAAAAGCTAACGTAGTAGCTGATGCACTTAGTCGAAAGACTTTTGCAGCCTTACGGACTTTAGATGTGCGTATGTCTTTAAAGGATGATTGTTGAACTTAAATTAAAACCGATGCTTTTGGATCGGGTAAAAGAGATCCAAGGTTAAGATGAGAGTTGTTTGTCAAGGATAGCCCAAGTAGAAAGATAATAAACCAAAGACTTTGAAATGAGGGCTGATAGATGCTAATATTATCGGGAAAGACTTTGCATTCATGATAATGAGGAATTGAAGAAATATATCCTTACCGAGGCACATTGTAGCACTTTGACTATGCATCAAGGAGGGAATAAGATGTATAAGGACTTGAACAGTCATTATTGGTGGCCTGGTATGAAAAGAGTTGTATCGGAGTTTGTTGCAAAATGTTTAACATGTCAACAAGTGAAAGCATTCAGAACGAGCTATCCAGATACTTGAGGACATGTGTGATTGAGTTTAAAGGATCATGGGAAAGGTATTTGCCTTTAGTGGAATTTGCATATAATAACAGTTACAAATCGAGTATTAAGATGGTCTTGTATAAAGCTTTGTATGGGAGAAAGTGTCAAACACCATTAAATTGGTTTGAAATAAAAGACTGAGACCTAGTCGGACCAGAGTTAATTAAAGAAATGGAGGAGAAAGTAAAAATTATAGAGGGAAATCTAAAGATAACATCCGATCGATAGAAATCTTATGCTGATTTAAAAAGAAAAGAAATCAAATTTAAAGTGAGAGATAGAGTATTTCTGAAGGTGTCGCCTTGAAAAAGGTATTGCGATTTGGGCGAAAAGGAAAGCTGAGTCGGAGATTCATTGGACCTTATGAGATCTTGAAAAGGGTCAGACGAGTAGCATATCAATTAGCTTTACCTCAAGATATGGATAAGATCCACAATGTTTTCCACGTATTGATGCTCAAAAGATACTGATAATATCCGTCTCACATTATCACACAAGATAAAATAGAGATCCGATCATATTTAACTTGTGAAGAAGAACCAGTGCGGATCCTGGCTAGAGAAAATAAGGAATTGCGTAACAAGAAGATTCCTTTAGTTAAAGTGCTCTGGCAGAATCATAAGGTTGAAGAAGCTACTCGGGAAAGAGACTAGGATATGAGAATACAGTTTCCATACCTCTTCGTTTCTGGTATATATTTAAATTCGAGGATGAATTTTTCTTAAGGGGGAAGAATTGTAACACCCCAATTATTAGGTAAGAGACTTTATTGAAAAGAATTGAAAATTTAAGATTTATTTTAATAAGTGGTAAAAATGAGAAAATGATTTGGAATAGTGTTTTAGACTAATTTGTAATAATAGATGAGTTAAGAGGGAATTTTGTCTTTTAAGGAATTAGTTAGTTATTCCTTTAAATTTTGGGTTGCTCTTGTAACATTAAGTAATATGTAAGCTTAAGAAAGGGTTAAAGAAGATTAAAACTAAGTGGTGAATGTATGAGTTTTAAGGAAATGTGATTTTGAATGGTTGATATATGAGTTTTTATTGAGGTTTATTATTAGAAATGACTTGTCAAAGGATTGAATAAGAGATTAAAAGGTGAGATATGATTAAAAACATGCTAGAAAAATGATCATTGAGTTGAGATGTTCTATGGAGATTCTAGATGTTATAAGAGGTTAAATGAAGCAAGTTAGTTGGGTTAAGTAAAGAAAAGTTTAATAGTATTGTTAGAGGTAAAAGTAAGAGATTAGAGGGGAAAATGAAGTAAAAATCGAGCTGAAAAGTGGTAAATCTGGGTAAGGGTATCGGTACTGATAGAACAGTACCGATATTGTAGTTGTAAATGAGTAGAAATGTGACGAATAGTATCGGTACCGATGCAAGTAGTATTGATACTGATGGAGTATCGATACTAACAAGGGGAAGTATTGATACCATGGATAATAGAATGCTAAAATGATATCGATACTGAAAGGGAATATCGATACCATAATGTAGTAGTATCGATACTGAGAGAAATGTATTGGTACCTTAGTATAGAAGTGTCGATACCATGGTAAGGGTATCGATATTATTGAGCCTGGAACTATAAGATATATTGAAATTGTTATAGAATTTGAAATAATGGTACTTTTGAGTATTATTGAAGTTTAAATGTTAAGGAATATACTAACATTTGGTGTGGTATATGTCTTGAATGGATGCTTGTGTAGATCACAATCAAGCTCCTGAATCTAGTAAGAAAAAGGGGGAAAGATAAAGTTGTTGATTAGCCATACATCTCTACATCTTATTAGCGAGGATTACCAGGTGAGTGCATATAATGTATTTATATGGGTTGAGGGAGACTCACAATAAGTCCACCTTAATGGTTTAAATTAATGTATGTTTTGCTTTATATTAAATATGTTTATAATGTGTGTAGATGTGATATTATGAATGATTTTTAGCGTAAGAACTGTTCTAAATAAAAGATTAATGGTCTAGCTGTGTATTTGACAGAAATGTGTTAATTATGCTATTTAGATGAAAGGTTAAATACCTTTGAGTAAAAGATTAATGGCCTACTTGTGCATTTGACAGAAAAGTGTCAATTATGCTAGTTAGATGAAAGGTTAAATACCATTGAGTAATAGATTAATGGCTTAGCCGTGCATTTGACAGAAAGGTTTCAATTATTCTAGTCAGATGAAAGGTTAAATACCTTTGAGTAAATGATTAATGTCCTAGCTTTGCATTTGACAGAAATGTGTCAATTATTCTAGTTAGATGAAAGGTTAAATACCTTTGAGTAAAAGATTAATGGCCTAGCTGTGCATTTGATAGAAATGTGTCAATTATGTCAGTTAGATGAAAGGCTAAATGCCATTGGGTAAAATAATAAAGGCTTAACAATGCATTTTGATATAAACGGTGTCACTCATTGATTGACAAAAAGGATTGTATAGGATTGCCATAAAGTAGACAATTAATCTTGGTTTTGATAGCCAAGATATACTTATGAATAAATTGTAATTCTTTTACAAGGTTATGCATTACTAAGTAAATACTTAACATGTGTTGATTTCAAGCGTAGGTAACAATCAAAGATTTGTTGAGTAAGGAGTGCAACAGAAACAACTTTCATTAATTAAAGGTTGACTCGTCAGTAACATTGGGACAATCTTATTCCTTTTGAAAACTTAGATGGCATGTAATTGAATTTAAGTAAATATTTTAGAATTTATGTAAAGTGATTTTTCTAGTATTATGCTTCCATAATTGTTATACTTTTGTGGTTTTTAAAATTGAATTAAAATTTACGGGTTTTCAAATGAAGAACTATTTTAAAAAGTGATGTGACCTCTGTATCTTGTGTACGTAAAGGTATACGGGAGATGGGTGTTACACTAAAAACCATATCGAAACATCTCTACGAAAGCTCCAATATGAAACGCACGAATGTCAACATTAAAATATGATAAACAACAACTATAATCGAAATATAACTCATCTAGAAACGCTCAAATTAACATCTACAAACCTAAATTGTTGGATTCCTAAAATTACCAAAAATCAAAATTGTTTTTGAGAAATTGATATCTAAATCATTTTTAATAAAAAATGATTTAATATGATTATAATCACTCCAAAAATAACTCAATTTCATTAATAAAACCTCAAAACCAATCTAAGAAATCAACACATTAATTAGCTTTGAAAATCAATTGAAATCTTTGAAATCCTTTCAATTAAATCAACAAATTAGTAGAATCATTAACACATAGTCATTTTCCCTCGAAGCTTGTAAGAAAACCAAGGAAAATATCCTTCCCTTGCTGGAAATAGATTGAAATTGAGATCATCACTTGAGCACGGTTATGATCGAGCTTTAAAAACAAGAATAAAAGAGAATGGGAACTTGATAATTAAATTCAGGATTGAGATGAGTGAATTTAGAAATCGAGAATAAAAATAGAAAGAATTGATCAATTTGTTTTGGAGAAAACGAAAGAAAATGGAGGAAGTTATGATTAGTTACTAAAATATAAAATAAGAAGGAAATGAAAAGCATGTGAATAAAAACAGTCAAATAAAGAAATGTAATTTTAGATTAAAATGATAAAAGGGAAAATTAAAACATTTTAATATAGAAAGAAAAGATCTAAACAACAAGCCTTGGTATAATTGCTTCATAAACTTTGGACATAGTGAAAATCTATAAAAATGATCACCGAAATTATAATTTCCTATTCCTTCAATCTAGTCACCAAATCATTCAATTAAACTTCCATAATTAAAATTATTCATCTAAAATCACTTAAAACCTCTCCAAAATATTTTTATACAAAAATATGAATTTTAGAAACTTTTCCTCCTTTTTATAGGAAATCTGAAATTCGACCCGAAACTGACCCTAATTACCAAACTCGACTTTAGGATGTTATAACTCTATCCCCTAAAAAGAATTTCATCCCTGAAATTACCTTAGTTAAACAACTGTAGAAACTGAGTTCTCATCGACTCTTCCGTCTCCCAAGTTGCCTCATCAATATTGTGGTTACACCACAAAACTTTTACCAACGTAATAGACTTGCTCCGAAGAACTTTCACATCGTTAGCCAAAATCTTAACCGGTTCTTCCTTGTAAGAAAGTTCCTCGTGTAACTCAACCTCGTCAATTGAAATGACACAAAAAGGCTCCGATCTATATTTATGCAACATCGACGCATGAAACACGTCGAGAATACGCTCGAGCTCAGGTGACAACCTCAAACGATACACAACTGGCCCAACACTCTCTAACACCTCAAATGGTCCTATAAACCTCGGACTAAGCTTACCCTTACACCCAAAACGTAACACCATTTTCCAAGGTGAAACCTTAAGAAACACCAAGTCACCCACAGCATGCTCAACCTCTCGATGCTTCAAATCGGTATACGACTTTTACCAATCAAGAGCAGCCTTCAACCAATCCTTAACATACTTAACTTTATCATCAGTGTCTTGAATTAATTCCAAACCAACAACGGATTCCTCACTCAACTAAGTCAAACACAAAGGATTACCAACACTTATGCCCGTACACCGCACCAAAAAGAGCCATCTAAATACTAGCCTGAAAATTGTTATTATAAGCAAACTCTAACAACGGTAAATAACACTCCCAAGAACCAACAAAATCAATAACGGATGCCTGAAGCATATCCTCCAAAACCTGTATCACACGCTTAGAATGCCCATCTATCTATGGGTTATAACTCCAATAAATCACTTGCTCACTCACCTTTACTATTAAAAAGAGTTTTAGTAATTTTTCACAACAAGCAAGATTCGCATACATCATATTGTTCGAAAATAAATGAATATAAGAATCCATCTTTATGGAGTTTTGATATGTGTTTCTTACTTATATGGCCAAAATAACAATGCCACAGATAAGTTTGATTCGAGTCATTTGTTTTTGATATGTTAGTATTTATGTTATAAATGGTGTTTTCTTAATCCAAAATATAAAGACCGTTAACCAATTGTGTCGAACCATAAAAAACATTATCGAGATAAAAAGAACAACAATTATTCTTAATAATAATCCCAATACCAATCTTGTCCAAACAAGAAATATAAATAATGTTCTTAGTCTAACTAGTAGAAAATAACAATCCTCTAAATTTAAATCAAGTCCACTAGGCAAAGATAAAACATATGTCCATATAGCTAATACATCAACTCTTGCTCCATTTCCCACTCGTAGGACTATGTCTCCATTAGCCAGATTCCTTTTCTTTTGTAGTCCCTATACGGAAGTACAAATATGAGAACCACAACCGGTATCTAATACCCAAGAAGTACATGTTGATAAATTAACATCAATGACATAAATACCTAAAACAAACGTTCTGTTTGCTTTTGCCTTCTTGACCTCTTCAAGGAAAATAGGGTAGTTTCTCTTCCAGTGTCTGGTCCTATCACAATGGAAACATTTTCCTTCTTTTCTAACTCCCCCTTTGGGTTTCAATGCATTTTCCCCTTTCAGTTTGGCCTTACCATTGCCCTTAGACTTTACCACTACATTTTTCTTTCCATTTACTTTGTCCTTGTGGACCATCAGAATGGGCTTAGGTCAAACCTTTTTCATGTTACTTTCAGCAGTTCGTAACACGCCAAGTAACTGTGGCAAAGTATTTTTAATTTTATTCATGTTGAAATTGAGGACAAATTGGCTAAAGCTATCTGTCAACGATTGCAGTAATTTTATTCATGTTGAAATCACAACTTTTCCAACGTTTGGATATAGCCCATCATCTTGATGACATGAGCTCCTACAGGAGTTCCCTCTGCCATTCTGCATTGAAATATAACTTTAGAGGTCTCATATCTCTCTTGACGTGCTTGCCCTTTATATATTTCTTTGAGATTTTGAATCATCTCATATGCAACCATGTCCTGAAGCATTATCCAACATCTAACATATCATCCATGTGTTTCTTGAATTTGTCTTTGTTAGCTCTTGAAGCATTATCTTTCGGTTAATCAGGAACAGGTTCTTCAATGACATATTTTTTCCTTTCCTATTTGAGAATAAATCTCAAATTACGAAACCAGTCAAGTAAGTTTATGCCATTAAGTTTATCCTTCTCAAGGAGTGATCGTAGTGATAAAGTGTTGTTTGCCATTAAATCTACAACAATGGAAATATTAAAGTAAGTAAATTTACCGAATTCAAATTTATAAATAGGTCTTTATTTACAAATTACTCCCATTATTTTATTTAAAATTAAAAAACCCTATTAGTTTTAATTTCGAAAAAATTCAACGGAACTTTTTCTAATGCGTGAGGATCCATAATACATCAATTTCCTAAATCAACTTTGCCTTTTCTTTTAAGATAGTGATTATTTAGGTAAGTAACACTTTACTAGTTACATCTCATGTAACTCCTCCTTTTGGTGAACAACTATTGTTCAAGTCATCTCATGACTTATCCAAATATTTAACCTCTAGGTTTCTAATCCTATTATAATAACCTAGCAAAGTTATTACTAATATATCAACCGGTGAATATCACTTGCTTATTCTTCGTGTTTAACCAAGATAGATTTATGTGCCAATGCTTTGGTAAAGCCCACACAATATCGATCGAAGCCTTAACGAGGGTAAATATTGGACGGTTAAGTTAACTTAGATTATAAAGAGGGATTTGCGTAATTATCTCATTATTGTTCGTTTTAATATTAGGCCCTTATTAATTTCATCAATATTCGTTCTTATTTTATCATTTGATGCATTGCATACATAACAATTATAGCAATAAATAAGATGCAATGGTTATAGCCCAAAAATAATGACTAAGGTAGCCCATCCCAAGCCAATGGGAGAACCAAAAACCCTAAAGCCTAAGACTGCTCTCAAGGTATCTTTTCGCCATTCTTCAGCTCCTTGTGAATCTCCATAGGGTTACAATTTTAAAAGAAACTCGTTTTACATACGAGGGAGTAAGATGAGAAGAGAAATACAACTGAGATATAGAAGGGCAAGGCTCACACACCGTATTTCAAATTAAACCATAGTAAATTAAACAAGTGCTATAACCATGCATGTCAAACACTGTGCAAACAAACATATCATAAATAAATATATACACGTTGTTATGCCTTTGTTAAAAATAGTACTTCTGTTTCTATAGAAAAACCTCACGATTTGATGACACTTATCAACAAAATTGTAATTTTTGGGATTTTCAATCCCGAAGGTTTTCTGCATCGGAACAACCTTTGCTCCACTGCAAAACGCGATATGCTATCGCACTCCCATGGATCATCATGTTAACAATTGACATATGGATTTCGTAAGATCCTTACAGTAACAAATAGACTGAAAAATAGAATAACAAATTAATATATTAATCGTTGTGGTTATGAATTTGAACAATGACATCATGCATAACAACAACAACAACAACAACAACAAAACCCTATTCCCATATGCAATGGGATAAGGGGGAGGTATGGTTGTAGGCTGCCCCAAATGCTAGGTTGAGAGCAGCTTCCGTGGAAGACCTCCAGTAGTCAGAAAATTTAAAAATAAAGATAAAATGCAATGCATGTATAAATAAATTAATAAATACATAGTTGAAAAGTTTTCATATGCAGTCTTCTTATGCGCGTCTGTAATGGGAAGTAATCCCTGCAAATAAATCCCTGTTTAAAAATCTTTGTATATAGGCAGAAACGTAAGGCCCGATTAAAATTTAAAAAGATGAAATATGAAGAGAATGATACACAAGAGTCAACTATAGCAAGCTACGAGAAGGAATAAAGTCAACTGGGTTAAAACTTAAACTAAGGCAACACTACCCCGCTACCTTAGTTCTAACCCTTAATAAATTCCAATGACAGGAACGTATAAAAGTAGAAGTCATGGAAATTACTACAAAGGCATAAAAGAAGACATAGATGATACACCCTATGGATGTGATCAGCACTACTCGGCTACCCTGGTCTTAAGTCTCCATACTTTACTATCAGAGGTCTTGTCCTCGGTAAGGGCTAAATCCTTCAAATTAGATCTCAAGCAGTCTTCCCACTTCTGCCTTGGTCGTCCTCTCCTTCTGGCACCATCGACTGAAATCGACTCTACCCTCCTGACCACATCCGACGGTTGTTGCCTAAGGACATGTCCAAGCCATCGTAGTCTTCCATCCCTCATTTTTTCGGATACATGCACCACCCCCAAGGACATCCTAATAGTAGAGTATGGTGTCATGTCCCACAAGTCCTACCACATGCCCATTGAAGAATTCTCATTTCTGCGGCCTCCATCCTCCTTACATTATCCTTCTTGATTGGCCAACATTCTGATCCATATAATAACGCTGGTCTTATTGCCATTCTATAAAATTTTCCCTTATATTTTAGAGGCACCTTCTTGTCACACAAAACTCCAGTAGCAGCCCTCCACTTTAGCCATCCCTCCTTTATACGGTGTGTAACGTCATCATCCACACCCCATCTTTATGTATCATAGACCCTAGGTACTTGAAACAATCCTTTGAGGGGAGAGCGTGTTCTTCTATGTATACATCTACATCTTCATCGTTTTGGTTCCCACTGAAGTTTGAACATAAATACTCTCTCTTTTCAATATTGATCCTTAGACCTTTTTCTTCCAAACCAGTCTTCCAAGTAACCATTCTACTATTCAGCTTAGTTTTTATTTCAGCAACTAGGACAATGTCTTCAGCAAAAAGCATACACCATGGAACACCGTCTGGTGTCACATAATAGATGTCATCCATAATCAAGGCGAAGATGTAAGGGTTAAGAGCCGACCCCTGGTGGAGTTCGATTTCCATCGGGAATACCTCGGTGTCGCCAGATGTAGTCCTGATGTATGTAGTAGATCTACAGTACATGTCACAAATTGCCCGGATATAAGCAGTTGGGATACGTCTCATTTCCAAGGTCTTCCAGATCGTATTGCGGGGAACGCTATCATACACCTTTTTCAAGGTCAATGAACGCCATGTGAAGATCTCTATTTTTTTCCTTATATTTCTCCATAAGTCGTCGAAGAAGATGAATCACCTCTGTAGTAGGCCTGCCTGGCATAAAGCCAAATTGGTTTTCCGAAACCTTAGTAACTTGTCTCAACCTAGCCTCTATCACTCTTTCTCATAGCTTCATGGTATGGCTGAGTAGTTTAATACCTCTGTAGTTTCCATAACGTTGGGGATATCCTTTATTCTTATAGATTGGTATCACCGTAGACTCTCTCCACTCCTCTGGCATCTTGGCAGTCTCTAGAATAATATTTAAGATGTTGGTCAACCACTTAAATCCCTCTTCTCCTAGGGCCAACCACAC